GAATGGCAAATTGATGACAAATGGCATCATATTCATCGTCAAAAAGACCAATGACATCACTCTCATCATTAAAAAGAATATTTCAAGATCTAGTCTGAAATATAATGCTGTCAGTGATAGGATAATATCCATAAACCCACAGGTAAGAATATTATTATTATTCAGATTTATGCACCAACCAAAGATGAAGAGATTGAAGATCACTTACAAACTTCTGTATCTGAAACTTTTCAAACATGCAATCAAAGTGCATTGATTATTACTGGTGATAGAATGTGAAAGATAAAAAAAATGAGGAGGGTTGGTAGTTAAAAATTGTGGCATTGGTGATACATGATGCCAGAAATCACATGATAGAAATTTAGTAAGACCAATGACTTTTGCATTTTAATATTTTAAAATATTAAACACTATTTTAATAACATGAACAGTGACTGTATATTGGACCTTACTGGATACAATTTGCTCTTATGCAAGTTCCAATTGAATTGAAGAAAAGCAAGTACACAAGACACCATCTCTTGATGTATTGAACACCAATGACTGAAAAACCAGACAATTTGTGAGATGACATCAAGGATATCATGCCAGGAAATCCAAAGGTCAATAACAGAACAGGAAAGGAAGAAAATATCAAAAGGAATGTCAGAAGAGATTCTGAAGCTTGTTTTTGTGCATAGAGTGTTCCTGTTGTTAAGTGCCATCTAGTGTATTCCAACTAATAGCAACCCTGTGTAGGGTTTTGAGGAGAGTCTGGTGAGTTTGAACTGTCGACTTGGCAGTTCAAACCAACCTAGGAGGTCAAATGCTTACCCTACAGTGTTACACAGTACTATAGGGCAGCTAAAACAAATGGAAGAAATGATGAAGTAAGAGAGCAGAACAGAAGATATCAAAGGGCAGCTTGAGAAGAAAACAGTTTTATAATGAAACAATTCAGGAAACATCTAAAGAAGATGAATGAATATACAGTCACTGTACCAAAAATAATTAGTTGATGTTCATCCATTTTAGGAGGTAGCATGTGATCAAGAATCAATGGTACTGAAGGAAGAAGTTCAACCTGCACTGAAGGCATTGATGAAAAACAAGGCTGCAGGAAATTATGAAGTATCAATTGAGACATTGCAATAAACAAATACAATACTGAAAGCATATATTCATCTATGCCATGATATGAAAGAATCCACTTGTCAACCCACTGGAAGAAAGTCATATTCATGCCCCTTCCAAAAAAGCTGATCCAACAGAATGCAGAAATAATCAAAAAATGTCATTGACATAACTCACGAGTAAATTTTTGCTGAAGATAATTTAATAAGTATTGCATCGATAAAGACAATTTCCAGAGATTCAGAAGAGGGCATGAAATTAGGAATGTCATTGCTGATGCTAGATGGATCTTGGCTGAAAGCAGAGAATAGCAAAAAGATGTTTATCTGCATTTTATTGACTACACAAAACATTCAGCTGTGCAGATCATAACATATTATGGATAACCTTGCGAAGAATGGAAACACCTAATTGTGCTCATACAGAGGCTGCACATAGATCCGATGACAGATGTTCCAATAGAACAAGGAGATTCCGCATTGTTTTAAATCAAAGAATACATCAGGGTTGTATCCTTTCACCATATGTATTCAATCTGTATATTGAGCAAATAATTTGAGAAACTGGACTATTTGAAGAAGAATACAATATGAGGATTGGAGGAAGACTTATTAATAACCTTTGATAAACATATGAAACAACTTGAAGTACTTACTGGTGAAGATCAAAGACTACAGCCTTCTGTATGGATTACAAAGGTATAAAGAAAACAAAAATTCTCACAGATGGGCCAATAAAGAATATCATAATAAACAGAAAACTCTAAAGTTGTCAAGGACTTCATTTTACTTGAATCAACAATCAGTGCCCATGTAAACAGCAGTCAAGAAATCAAATGAAATATTGCATTGGGCAAATCTGCTGCACAGGACCTGCTTAAAGTATTAAAAAGCAGAGATGTTACTTTGAGAACTAAGAAGAGCTTTATGCAAGCCATGTGCATGCAACAGCTGTATAATAATAAGGAAGACCAAAGGAGAACTGATGCCTTTAAATTATGGTGTTGGTGAGGAGTATTGAATATATCGTGGACTACCAGAAGAACAAACAGATCTGTCTTGGAAGAAGTGCAGACAGAATGATTTTTAGCAGCAAGGATTTTTAGCAGCAAGGAGGGACTTCACCTCCAGTATTTTGGACATATTATCAAGAAGTCTCTAGACAAGAACATCATGGTTGGTAAACTGAAGGATCAGTAAAAAAGAGGAAGACCTCAACAAGATGGACTGATACAGTGGCTGCAACAATAGGTTCAAGCAAAGCAAATACTGTGAAGATGGCAGAGACCAGGCAGTGTTTTGTTCTTTTGTATTTAGGAGCACTATGACTCAGAAATGAGTTTACAGCACCAAACAATAGAAGTCTTCATGGAAGCTTACTGCCATGTTTTTTTCCCATGGGACAGCTGGTATGTAACCTTTCAGTTAGCAGCCGAGTGCTTACCCACTGCACCACCAGGGTTCTTGTGTCGTGTTTTACTCCTTCTAATATTCCCTGCATGGGGTCACACTGGGTCTCCATGAGTTGAAATCCACTCCATGGCAACTAACAACAACAATATTCTTACATTACCTAGCAGTGAGTTACACATGATAAACACATAAAAATAACCAGAACTTTGTGAGTTGTTTAAACCTATACAGGAGGACTTAAAAAGTGTGTGGAAGGATTTCATTATCTTTTCATTCTATTTTTCCAAGAACTTTGTGAGTGCCCTCATACAACACCCATATTGAGTTAATAGGGTAAATGTATTAAATACTTTGTATTCAGGTGTTACTGTTGACAGAATATAGAAAAGGAACCATATTTCTTTTATCTTTGTATTCTCAGCAGTTAGCATAGTACTATTCAAATGTGGTGTTCTGCTACAAGTGAACTAAATTCATGATCAGCAAGATCACTAGTTTCAACATGCATGCATATTAAATTTCCCACATTTAAAAAATATCATTTAATTTCCCACTATATAAATCTTATGCTTCATTTCAATATTTCACTTATAATCTTTCAACCTTAATTTTCTTAATTGTTGTTAAGTGCCATCAAGTCAGTTCTGACTCATAGCGACCTTGTATAAGGTTTCTGGAGAGCAGCTGGTGGGTTTGAACTGCCGACCTTGTGATTCAAACTGACCTTGCAGTCCAGTACTTACTCTACTGGAGTGCCACACTCAGGCTCTTATTAGGAATAGCTAAATTGTTTGGTATATATTGTTGTTGTTGTTGTTAGCTGCCATCAAATCAGTACCAACTCAAAGTGATCCTGTGCACAATAGAACAAAACACTGGCTGGTCCTGG